CAGCAGTCTGCCTTCGCTCAAGAAGCCCGGCCAAAGTTTCCTGCGCCACTTGCACTTCAGTGCTTTGAAGGTTTGTGCTCAGCTGAAGGGTGGAGGCCAGCAGGTTGGTGGGCCATGTGGGCGGCGCAGCCTTGTGTTCCTATGTAGCCTGGATTAACTGCTTTGGGGGGTGCTTTAGAAGGGACATTTCTCTGCAGACCACCAAAATTTTCTCACGGACCACCAGTGCTCTCCAGCCCACCAGTTGGTGACAACTGTATTAGATAGTAAAAAGAAACAGTAGGAGATCTGTACTTTCAGACTTGCATGATTCTATTAATGTAGCCTTACAATAAAGTAGGATGGTCTCATCTTGTCATGTTTCCCATGTGCTCCATTTGTGAGACTGACAAAAAAAGATGGCAATAGCTAATAATCTTCACAGCATTCCCACTCACCCTCATGTGTGTGGGTGTGTGTTATGTGTTCACTTATTTTCCATTTCACCTAACAACCTGAACATTTGAACAGAACTTGGTTGCTAAACAAGGAGTGAGTATATGATATTGTTCCTTTAATTTTTATAAAGCACAATAGTTTTCATAAGAGAAATTTCACAGATTTCCCCAAGAGCTTATTTAGACTCTAATGTTATCAAAATTCCTTGATCTTCATATACTTTCTAACAGAGCTGGCAAGATTTATCACTTCTCTAGTTCCTGGGAGGAAGATGATGTTTTTGCTTTTTTCTCTTGTCCTAATTGGTGCCATATTGTCTCCTGCTCCTTAAAACAATTTCTTTCAGCTGTGCATAACATGCAAAACATATATGTAAAGGAAAATCACTTTGGAATGTTTCTATAATCCCTACATCTACAATTTCCATATAAGTAAAATTCAGTGTCCATTATTTTCCCAGTGGTATGACCTTGTGGAAAGTAACATCATTACCTTGTCCACTATGGAATTCTTTGTAGAATTCTTTATTGGCCAAGTGTGATTGGACACACAAGGAATTTGTCTTTGGTGCATATGCTCTCAGTGTACATAAAGGGAAAAAATGCATTCATCAAGAATCATGATACAACACTTAGAGATAGTTATAAGTTATTAATAAGCAATCAGATCATGTTAGGAAACAAATAAAACAATACAAATTGTAAAGATATAAGCAACAAGGTTATAGACATAAGTGAGAAGAGATAGGTATTAGGAAGTGTTATTATAATCTAGTAGTAGAGGAATAATAGTAATACAGTCTTAGTAAATAAGTTGACAGTGTTGTGGGAAATAGTTGTTTAGCAGAGTGGCAGATGGCATTCGGGGGAAAACTGTCCATGTGTCTAGTTGTTCTGATGTGCAGTGCCCTATAGCATTGTTTTGAGGGTAGAAGTTGAAATTGAAACAATTTATGTTTGGTTGCAGAGCCAAACCAGACTGTTATAGAGATGCAGATGACAGAGTCAATAATTCCTCTGTAGAATTGAATCAGCAGCTCTTTGGGCAGTTTGAGGTTTCTGAGTTGGCACAGAAAGAACATTCTTTGTTGTGCTTTTTTGATGACGTTTTTGATAATAGATGTCCATTTTAAGTCTTGAGATATGATAGAACCTAGAAACTTGAAGGTCTCTACTGTTGACTATCTAGTATTGTAAGAGGTGGTCGTATAGGAGGGTTTCTCCTAAAATCTACTACCATTTCTATGGTTTTAGTGTATTTAGTTTAAATATTTTATATTTAATATAAGTTCCATATCTTCTTATCTCAGGTGTGGCAAATAGGTATCCTAGGATGTAGCAGAAACTTTATGTGTTTGTTGTTTTTTCTTTTCCTCTCTCTTTTCCCTTCTACTCAAAGAAGCTACACAAAATAGAATGTAATCTGTTGGTGAGTTTCAGAAGTTATTTATCTCAACGGTATTCAGAGTATTATTGTCTGTCCCTTTTTGCTCTGTTCAACATATTTTGAAGTGTGTCAACTCCACAGAGATTTGGAAGAAGTGCTTTGAATCTTGCCTGAGCACAGCATTTCTCTCTTATTGATTAAAAGGTGTTTTTTTATTTCCATGGGAATTAAAAACAACAGCTCTTTAATGAAAGATTTAGAAAAACTGCATCCTTTACTAGGTTTGTGCTGAAGTATGAACAGCCCTAAAAAGTGTCATCAAACTTTCTGATGCTTTAAAAATGAGCAGATATTTAATATTTAATCCACATGCAAGATTACAGTCTTGATTAGCGAAATGTGCTATACTCAGTAATACTGTAAGTAGCTGACTAGTAGCATCTGTTGTCCCAGGAAGGTATTGACTGAAATTAAGATGTAGAGAAACCAGGAGAAGCTCTTGGATGAATTTTTTTAAAAAATGTAATTGTGATGCCACAGAGCAGAAAGTGTAACCCTCATTGTATAGTCATATGAAAAGAGACTCTATACCTGTAAAAATATAATTTGATTTTTTGGCTCAGAATGAGTGTAAATTCATCTACCCTGTTTCTCCAACAATATGGCCTCCCCCAATAGGAAGTCCCAGCATGTTTTATAGGCATGAAATGAAATTAAGCCCCTCCCCCCCATTTCGCATGTTTTATAGGCATGAAATGAAATTAAGCCCCTCCCCCCCAAATTAAGGCCTATATTAAAACATGCGAAATGGGGGGGAATGGTGAGGGGGCGGCTTGCCGTTAGGAAGTACTTTTGTTGCACACCCAGATATGGTGCTGCCTGCGTTGACCCCGATACTAAGTGCCCCACCAACGCCGAGGTCAACATCCAAGCCATCGCCACCCACCCACCCAAAGATGCAAGGGGGGGAAAAATTAAGTCACCCCCGAAAAGACAGCCTAGCCATTTTTTCGGGGCTCAAAAAAAAATAAGATCCGGCCTTATTATATGAGAAACACGGTATTATATCCTAATAGGCTGTCTAGTTAAGGTTTGTTCAACAAATATTTTTTAAAACACTTAATTGCACTTCATATGTAAACAAAGACCATGAAGCAATTATTTACTTCCAGTTCCAAATCACTCTTAGCTAATAACTCATTTTTATGCATGAGTTGCCAGTCTGGAGAAATGGTTAAATTGTTGTAAGCCAAGGGTAAGTCAGGTTCATGTTTCAATCTCAGCCATAGAAATTCTGACTTATTTTTATTCAGTCACTCTTCTTGATCCAACATACCTCCCAGGATGATAGTTGGGGGGGTGGGGATGGAGAAGGGAGTATTGTGTGTCCTGCATTGAGGCAGTACTGTATATAATCCTGAGCAACTAAACTAACAAATGAATTCAGTGACTTTGGATCCTAAACTAATATTTTAATAAAAGATTTTTTTTTGCTGGAGGCTTTATTATCAGCAGGTATAAAATGGTGTTCTGATGTAATCTTTAGTTGCTTGGCAACCATTAAGCCAATATGGATCTTGACAGAGACATGTTTAGAAGGCATTCTTTTTAGTAAGCTGAATATAGCTTAAATGAATGGCATAAGTTCTTTCTGAAAATTTAATTTTAAAAAAACCTTGAACATTACTATCTTTAAACATAGTTGCATGCTCACCATGCATTATATCAGTTTTTCTTTATAACAGAAAAACTATGCAAATAATTTTGTTTTCTATTTTTAATATAAATAAGCTGAAATTTATAATACATTAATCAGCTTCTTGGTCCATAATCTTTATAATAGTATAAATCTTACAATCTGTTTAAATAAATAGATGGTATATAAATGTATTAATGTATAAAATAAGCAGTTCAAGTCCTGTATTGTGAAGGCCGAGATGTAAACTTTGAATTAGCAAACTATAAAACTTTGAGTTTACTTTTTATGAAAATGATGTTAAATCATTGCTTATTAATGATAATGATATAATGATATCCTTGCTGTATTCCCATAGCTGAATTAAGAAGAATTAATAAAGCAAAAAAGAATAAAAGCAGTATTAAAAATGTTTCTTAATATAAAATAGAAATAAAAAAGAAATAAAAAATTTGAAAGGAAGAGGTGATAAAAAAAGAGGTGATAAAATGAAGAAAGGAGGAAAAAATCAAAACAAACCAAAAGTAGTAACTTTTGACTTTTTTCAATGTAGTAAGATACATAGTAAAGTTAGAATGCCAACTTTTTAGTTTTGGCAAATAATAACCACTAGCCATTTATTTAACTCAGTTGTCAAAAAACAAAGTTTCAGTGTTTTTAACGCAGAAAGTCCAGAAGTGGTTTTTAAATAACTGCAATATTATTTACATTCTTATTCCTAATTAATGCAATCAGTTTCACCACCTCCACCAATTCCATCATCTTTTCAATCCATTTCTCCATTCTGGGAGTTAACACTGCTCTCCATTTCTGGGTATATTCTTGCAGCTGTCATCATGTATAGCAGTAGAATTCCAGATCCCCCACACCCCAATTCTTTAATAATTCTAAAAAGTTCTAGTTTGCATTGTAAATTCAGTTTTAAATTTTTTTGAATTAACCATGATCTGTATCCAATATTTCTTTGCCTTATCACCAGGGGTGGGTTTCTACCGGTTTTGTCCACTTCTGTAGAACCGGTAGCTCTGAAGAGCAGCAGACATAGAACCAGTTCTACGTCTGCTGATGTTTTTGGCTACCTGCCCATCCGGGCTCTTACCTGACCTTTATTTCCTGATTTTTTCAAATTCAGCTGCCGTGTGAGGCACAGCTGCAGTTAAAAAAGCAGGAAAAAAGGGCTTTTTGAAAGGCTGCTTCTCTGCACGTACCATGCTGATGACAATTTACAGGTGTGCGCTGGCAGCGTGCAAGGAAGCACATTGTAAATCACTGAACCTCGTAAATGACTGAACTGGTAGTTAACCCTGTCGGATCCCACCCCTGCTTATCACATGTCCCCAACTTATGATAAATATTTGATTTTTAATTGTTGGTTTTGTTAGTAATTACAGGCTATTTTATTGGGAATGCTTTGAGGTGTGGAATTTGTGAGGAAATTTTCTATGCTTTCTTTTCAATTCCTCTGGTTCTTATATTCTAGGTCACTGACACAGTTTTGCCAGCTTACCAAGACAACCTTAAGAATCCTCCATTTCCAACATTTTTTGCTGATACTGAAGAGCTGCCTGATGAGCTGTATGATGAAGAGCTTTTTCAGTTCACTGAACCCTCCATTGCACTCTCTGAGTCCTGAAGAATTAATAGTTATTCTCCCTTCAGTCTTCAGAACTAAACATGAAGCCCTCACTGAAGGGCTTCCTTAAGATGGCATTTACATAATGCTGGATCTTTATTGATTTTCAGATCCACTACTAAATAAAAACAGTTATTTGAAACTGAAGAGAAGCATTCAGTAACATTTTAACAAATTAATATGATTCATATAATAAGTATGTATTTTATATTGTAATTTAGAAGTATCAGCTGGTTCGCACATATCACATTTTCTATAAAGCAAAGTCATATGTCACATATTTTCATGACACATATCCTCAAGTCCCTTTTGATTCAACAGACAACATCCAATAGCTGGCAAGAAACAGAACTGGCAGGCATCCACAATTGCCTAAAATATTATGAGATTGATATACAAAAGCAATAAGAGTCTGTGTCAATTAACTTAATAGGGCTTGCTTCTGATTGCTTGTGATTAATACATATTTTTTGTTACTGGCCAGATGCCCTTCCTGTGTGGAGATATATTCTCAGTGTGACCAGAGAAAGAAATATGAGCATTTACCTATGATTGAACTCACAGCCTCCTGATTGTGAGGCTAGAGCTCCACCTTTAGGCCACCGCACCACTCCCACACCTTGTCTTGAATGCTTATGAAAAATATCTGATCAGTCCATATGGAAAAAAAGATAAAGGTCATTATGACACTCCTTAATCAGTTCCACCATAGCTCTAGGATGCATCTGTGGCAGGCCTTTTTAAACTTTGAATCAGAAGGAAGTTGCTCTGGAAGACAAGGAGTAAAGGAAGATTTTTAAGAGTCTGCTTAAACCATGTTTTTTTGAGAAACCACCTGACCTTCCAAGCAATCCAAACCTACTATAAAAGGATCTTGTTGGAGCAGCTTCTTTTCCTTTGATTTATATCCATTATTTCTTTTCCTTTCTCACCCCGCCCTCCCCAAAATGAAGCTAGGTAATAACTTCCCAAGTTAAGGAAGATATTTTCTCAAAGACCAGTACCATTTGGTAGCAAGGAACATGGTGCTGGAGTTTTGTATTGCTTTTTTCAATGCAAGAAAAAAACTGTCTTCTCAATGATAAATTGCTTTTCCCACAATAGATCCACTAGCCAATAAGATTTAATCCAACAAGAATTTTAATTCAATAAAAACAACTCCCCTCAAAAGCAGACTGGCTGGAGGGGCACAAAGATGGAAACGTGCATGTGTGCATGAAGATCAGGTGACTGGCTGGTTTCTAATGCACATGCACATGCCGGACATCTGGTGTTCGCACACGCATGTGTGCTCCAGGAGCTGCTGGCTTCTTGCATGTGCACGTGTTTTGGCACTCGGTGCCTTTTCAGTGCATATGCGCTCCCGTTTCGACACTCAGTGCCCAAAAGGTTAATCATCACTGGTACAGGGGCTCCTGCTTGAGCAGGGTGTTGGATTAGAAGACCTCCCTTCCAGCTCTATTCTATGTAGGTATACAAAAAGTACCCACAAGAATGGAAGGTCCCTAACTTTAAAAATATATCTTAGTATGTGCACTAAGCACCCTCAAATAATGCTATTATTTTTGCAACTCTTAAAAAAAATCCTTGAATGCTGAAACAATCCTATTAATAAATATCCAAGTTGTCGGCTTTGATCTGGATAAATAGCATATCTCAAATGAATATCATGTCAGCAATGGTTATCAGTTCTTAAAATTTTAAATATGAGTTCTTAACTAATAAATTTACATGAAATGTTTTGTCTCATTAAAAATATTTGGTTATTTATAAGCCTAATGAGATTTTAACTGAAAATTAATTTCATTTTAAAACATATTAAAAGATAAATGAGATTTTGAAAATCTATATCAAATTTACTATAAGGGACATTTGTCCTTTTGATACTAGTGTTAATATACATGACATTTGGTACTTTATCCATGTCCCACCATCTACCAGTTATTTAATGTATGATTTTGTTGAATGCTAATATGCCGGTCGGTCGGTTGGTTGGTTGGTTGGCTGTGGGGAGTTGTTGCGTGTTTCCAGACAAGGCTTATATTGAAAAATCAATGGGTTCCGTGCAGAAATGATGTTGGGCGGGGGAGTTTTATAAAAGTGAAGATGGCTGTGTGGGCATGGCCAAGTGAATGCAACCATATTGGTGTGGCTGGCTACAGTGGGTGTCTAGGTGGGTGCAGTAAAAGTCACTGTGGACAAATGGACGTGGAGCCGCCACAGCACCCCACCAAAACAAAATTTACCCGGAGACATGCTGGGAAACAGGAAGCAGGTAAGTGGCAAAATTTGAAAGGGAAAGGGTGGGTCCTCCCCCACCCACTGTTTTTTTCTTGCCTCTTCTTGAGTGGTTTCTCTACTTTGGCAGGGGAGGGAGGGGCTGAGTAAATTCCCCCCACCCCTTTTGGTGAAACGGAGCATTTTACTTGCTGCTTCCTGAGAGGTTTATCTGTTGAGTTGGAGGGACTGTTTGATAACATCAAGCATGTGAGGATGATCAATGCTGGATGTAACTTCAATATTTCTTTAGAGTTATGTATCCTCGCAAAGCATGTCCATTTGCAGAAATCTCATTGAATCGAGGCGATTCATCATTCCCCATTTGTTCAAATCCACAGAAATGGGAAAGGGAAGGATGGATATTTTATATTTTCAGTAGTTCAACTTACTTCTTACCCCACCCCACCCCCAAAAAAAAAATATAATTTCATTTTGGTTACCAACATCCATCTCTTCTGATATTATTTTTGGAATATGAGGCAAACTAGTTTTACAGTTATATACCAGAAAGGCCCAACAGATACTCCATTTCCTTAGGATTGTGCGAAAGAATAAAGTGGAACAACGATTGATGACCTTTTACCGGTCCACAATAGAAAGCATCCTCTCATATTGCATTATGGTGTGGTATGCTGGCTTGACAGACGTGGATAGAAAGACATTACAGAGGGTGGTGAGCACAGCACAAAACATCATGGGCTGTTCCCTGATACCACTAGATGACATTGCTAGGGCTTGCTGCCTTAAAAGAGTGAGGAAAATTCTCAGGGATGACTCACATCCCAGTCAGCACTTCTTCACTCTCCTACAATTGGGTAGGAGATATAGAAATATAGCCAGCTGCACCAACAGGCTGAAGAACAGTTTCGACCCATGGGCTGTCAGACTTCTGAATGGAAAATAACTTCATGTCAACAGTATGATAGATTTGCGGGGCGGGCGCATTGTGCAACAAGATCACATAGTGTAGTAAGATTGGGACTGGGTTAGGGACTTCTGTCCTCACTGTGAGTTGTGTTGTGGGGGTGCACGAAGAGAGGCTCAGCCAATCTCATTGTACACGTATTCTGACAATAAAAGTAATAATAATCTGTCTCCTGCCACTTCCGGCTAGACTCCCTCGCCGACGGACCGAAATCCGTGATTGTCCGCAGTTTTGGTTCCCGCTCTCCCATTGGAGGGCCCCGATCTTGATTTGGGGCCAGAGCCACCCTGTAGAGGTGGTGAAGAAGGGAGACTGCCAGTTGGGTCAAAGGGAGCGCATCTCCCCTCCTTGGCTTGGCAGTACTCCCCTCCGAAGATGGCTGTAGCAGTGGCCAATATGACCACCCTGAAGAGGTGAGCTGACTGGGATAAGGTTGTGCAGGAGCGGAGAAGGGGACGGCGCAGAAACCAGGAGAATTGGGCGCAATTTCTAAATAAAAGGTACCCCAGAATCAAAAAAATTTAAGAGAGTTGATTGAAGTGAAGAAAGGAATTTTTGACAGCTTAAAGTGGCTTTGAATCTTGAAGAAGCCAAAAGGAGATCCTTGCTTATATATGATAAATATATGTCCCTGACACCAAAAAGACATAATTAAAGCCATACTTGAATGTGTCAAGTGGGGGGGCGGGGCAAGTAATTGATAATTATTGGAACTTTTGAACTTTAAAAGCCCGAAATAGAGAAAAAAGCAGGAGAAAAAGAATTGATTTTAGACATAACGGAGAGTGCCATCTAGTGGCCAAAGGAATTATTTGTTTCCATTTTTTCTTTTCTCTTTTTAAAAGCCTGGTTACTTCAAGGACTTACTTGATAACAAATTAACTGAAATTAGGATACAATAAAATAGAGACCCTGGAAAATGAAAGTGTAATATTGAACATTAAGACAAAGAAATTTGAAAGGTACTCCAGCACAGTGCCCCAAACACCACATCACAATCACACTACAGAGTAAATAATAATAATGATAATGATAATAATCCTAGTCTAAAACCTATCTATCTAATCTATTTTATATACATATTTATATACAAACATTTATATACACAAATCACAAATGCACTAAATCACAAATGCACTGTTTAATTCAAGACAATTACTGCCTTGGAAATGTACTGTTTAATTCAAGACAATTACTGCCTTGGAAAAGAAACTGTTTCTCAATCTATTAGTCATCATTTTAAGACCCCTGTAACATCTCCCTGATGGTTGAAAATATGAATGACCAGGATGAGAACGGTCTGTGGAGATTTTTAGTGCTCTAGAGAGGAGTCTGGTCTTCGCAATCTCTTCCAAAGAAGAAACAGAGGAACCAATGATTTTTGTGCTGTGTTTATAACTCTCTGGAGCATCTTCTTATCCACTGCAGAGCATCCAGCTTACCACACCATTACACAGTATGCCAAAATGCTCTCAATGGTAGAACGATAAAAAGTAACCAGCAACCTCTCACCCAAACCACTCTTTTTCAGCAACCTCAGTGCAGGCGCTGTTGGGCCTTCTTTGCAGTGGCCATAGTGTGGACCGACCAAGTAAGGTTGTTGGAAATATGAGTTCCTAGAAATTTAAAACTATGAACTCTTTCCACATAATCTCCATTGATATATAGTGGGAGAGGCTCTGCTTTGCATCTTCTGAAGTCTATAATCAATTATTTGGTCTTTTTTATATTCAGGGTGAGGTTACGACTCTTGCACCACAAGACCAGTCTGAGAACCTCTGACCTATAGGCCATCTCATCTCCTCCTGATATGAGATCCACCAACGTGATGTCATCTGCAAATTTTATTATAGTTAGTGGGACAAGAGGGAGTGCAGTCAAAGGTATAGAGTGAATACAAAAGGGGGCTCAGCACACAGCCCTGTGGAGAGCCAATGCTGACAGCAAGAGTGAAGGAAAAATAGCT